CTAAAAGATTGTAATAACTGATCTTTGTCGTTAAAAGAGTAAAGTTAACTGGTTTTGTAAATTAATGTTAATGTTCATTTATCTGCTTTCTAAGTTAATAAATGAATCATGAACAGTTGGTTGATTGGGGAAAAATTATTTGGACGCTGAGGAAATGTGGTTGTACAGACAAATGAGGAGAATATCCTAGACAGATTTAAAAAAAAAAAAAAGTAATGAGGATGTCTTGAAAGAAACAACCCACCAAGAGAACTGGTTGCTCACATTAGAAAGAGACAATCTACATTCTTTAGTCATGTGATGAGAAGAAGAAAAAAAACTGCAGTACATAGTGACAGTCGAAAAGTTGAAGGGGAGGAGAGGCAGAGAGAGACTGAGAGAAAGGATGCTGGACAGTTTTGCATCATGGCATGGATCATCTTTGTCAGAGTTGATTGAAAGTACATGAGACAGAAGGTTGTAGACATGACTAACAACATTACATGGCATGCACTGTAAGAAGAAGAAGAAGTTAATCAACTCACTACCTTGTGTGGGTTCTGAGGCAAAACAAAATTGGGGGGAGGGGTGGGGTGGGGGAGGGACAAAGAAAGATCCACTGCCTCTTAACAAGCCAGTCATGAAAAGGAAGCCCATTAAGGACTTGCTGAGGTCAGATTTGGTTGCACAATGTACCTTTAAGAGTAAATTTAGTATTTTTTTTAAAAAGGAATAACCTTACTGATGTGTGTTGGTAAGTTATATTATTACTGATGAATGTTGGTAAGTTGTAACATTACTGATGTGTGTGAGTAAGTTGCAACATTACAGATGTGTGTTGGTAAGTTGTAACATTACTGAACTGGGCTAGTAAGTTTTTACAAATTACTGTGTGTTGGCAGGTTTATAACTTTACAGATCTGTTTTGCAAATATTACTAGTCACATTTGATAGGACAAATGTTGTAAATATCGGATCTAAGTTGTGCAAAGAAAATATAAACAAAATTGTTTTGTGTTATTGTAAGTTGTTTCTGTATTGAGAATATTATTGAATATGTGTTTTTTTGTGTGTGTGTAGAAACAGTTGTGGTGTCTGATTTATGTTGAGACAGTTGATGTGTCTGGTGTTTGAAGAAATCAGTGCCCTTTGGCACGACACATCCGCTTTAAGTAAATCCCTAGTTAGTCTTTTACAGCATACATGTTAAAGGGCAGTTTTTCTAAGCTGCACCCCTGCGCGACTGCCTCATTAGGGTTATGCAACTCACACAGGTAGTTGAGTCAAGAACTGACATCACAGCACTTGGGGCATTCCCATGTGTGCTCTGTCCTCATCTTCAGCAGCCAGCACAGAGTTCTAATACTGATTGTCTGGTCACAATCTAGTTATCTGTCCGACTTGATCATCATCATCATCAGGTGCCTTGACGAGTGGCGTGGGCGATCATGCCTCTTTCAGTAGGTAAATGACGCTTTCCAGTCACCGCTCTACTCTGGTTTCGTTCAGTGTGCAATACTTTGGCCTAGAAGTTGAGGCTAAAGTTCAAAATCGAGAGGATTCACTTTGTTGCACTGGTTAAATACCTTGTAGGTCAGCCTCTGTCAGCAGACCCACTAGCCGATTGCCGAGAGTGTCGCACAAAGAACGAACCGCGTTGCTCAGGCGACGATCTCTGAAGCATATGCGCTCGTGAACGAACCCACGATCTTCAGAGCTGGCTTAGCCGCAGAGACCTAGAGGCTTCGGTTGTACAGAAGGTAGCTCAGTCTCACAATCACTTTGGCCAAAATGTACTCTAGTGCATCGTTCTGTGGCCTATCAGTCACAAGTGGGAGCTATCTCCAGGTTGTGTCTAACTGCAAGACATAGGTAACAAGCAGCGTTCTTATCTTCATTAAACATTTAAATCAGTAGTTCTCGACCTTCCTGATGCCGCGACCCTTTTAAACAGTTCCTCATGTTGTGGCGACCCTTTAATACAGTTCCTCATGTTGTGGCGACCCTTTAATACAGTTCCTTATGTTGTGGCGACCCTTTAATACAGTTCCTCATGTTGTGGCGACCCTTTAATACAGTTCCCTCATGTTATGGCGACCCTTTAATACAGTTCCTTATGTTGTGGCGACTCTTTAATACAGTTCCTTATGTTGTGGCGACCCTTTAATACAGTTCCTCATGTTGTGGCGACCCTTTAATACAGTTCCTTATGTTGTGGCGACCCTTTAATACAGTTCCTTATGTTGTGGCGACCCTTTAATACAGTTCCTCATGTTATGGCGACCCTTTAATACAGTTCCTCATGTTGTGGCGACCCTTTAATACAGTTCCTCATGTTGTGGCCACCCTTTAATACAGTTCCTTATGTTGTGGTGACCCTTTTAAACAGTTCCTCATGTTGTGGCGACCCTTTAATACAGTTCCTCATGTTGTGGCGACCCTTTAATACAGTTCCTCATGTTGTGGCGACCCTTTTAAACAGTTCCTCATGTTGTGGCGACCCTTTAATACAGTTCCTTATGTTGTGGCGACCCTTTAATACAGTTCCTCATGTTGTGGCGACCCTTTAATACAGTTCCTTATGTTGTGGCGACCCTTTAATACAGTTCCTTATGTTGTGGCGACCCTGTAATACAGTTCCTCGTGTTGTGGCAACCCTTTAATACAGTTCCTCATGTTGTGGCGACCCTGTAATACAGTTCCTCGTGTTGTGGCGACCCTTTAATACAGTTCCTCATGTTGTGGCGACCCTTTAATACAGTTCCTCGTGTTGTGGCGACCCTTTAAAACAGATCCTCATGTTGTGGCGACCCTTTAATACAGTTCCTCATATTGTGGTGACCCCCGGCCATTTAATTATTTTCGCCGCTACTTCATATCTTCAATATATTTGTTTTGCGATTGTCTTTGGCGACCAAAATGAAAGGGTCATTTGACCAACACAAAAAGGGGTATCGACCCATAGGTTGAGAACCGCTGGTTTCATTGGTGTCTCACATCCTTGGAAGATCCTATTCCTGCCAGCTTTGTTGTTGTTAGCACCTTTCTCAAGACCATAATACTCCATTGTATTATAGCAGTGGTTTTCAACTTGTAGCTACCACCCCCAGGGAGCCCAAGACAGTTTAAGGGGGTTCTAACAATTTTCAAACTAAGTGAATTTTACTTGTAATAATCTGTTATGTCAACATGCTTATCTTCAATTTAATTGTAAATTTAAATTAAACACTCAGAAAAACAAAACATCGCTGTCATCTTAATGTGGAGAGTGATCTGAGCTTTGCCTGGTTCAATATCAAACCAAATATCGACCAGATATCGATTAAGACAAAACTGTGTTAATCATCACATTGATACATTGTCAGTAAATTACCAGTTTTGGTGTTTGTTTCTGTGAATTTGTTGGACATTTTGATTTATGTGGATGTTTTATCTTTAAATTCTTACAGATTTTTTTTTAAATTATTTTTTTTTTAAAGCTGGGTGGGGAGGAGGGGGTGGGGGTGGTGTGATCTATGGGGGTTCGTGCTTTGCTCGATATTGTCCTCAGGAAGCTAACCGTTTTGTGGAGAGGGACACAATCCTATGTATAAACACCAACTGCAATGAAGTTTTTTTTTCCTCTCGTCTCTTTACCCTTCAAACTTTGATCTCGAGTTCTCTATCCGTGTCTTTTCTCAATGCCCCCTAGCTCTTTTACGATGGATCTTTTTAGCCACTAACATTATAGATTATTTTTTTTCTAAGGAAAGAGGTCAAGGTTAGATATTGGTTATGAACCCGGACATGTTCTGTATGTAGAACTGAATATCCGACTAGTACTGGAGAAATCGAGATCTCACTAAATAAGTTTTACAAGCGACGACAGAGGTTGCAAACCAATATCCTCTGGTCTCATAAGTCACAATTTTCCCTTGATTAGAAACGAGTAGCAGACATCGCTCCTGAGGCCTGGGCTAGTTAGCTTCCTCTGGGCAATTTCCCCCCCCCCCCCCCCCCCCCCCAAGATCTGGAGATGTGATGGTAAACGAACAGGTAGGCAGATTAGCCGGTTCTGCATCATCTGGTGGTACACTGATACATGACAGGTTATATGTAGGCAATACTCTTTGGAGCAATGATTCAGAAATAAAAGCACAATTTGGTCATTGCGGTCTGGAAATAATGTTCCAGCGGGAAGTAACTAGGGATCTGGGCAGCATTCAGAACTCAGTGAAGAGGCAAGACTGCTACTGGTTCCAGTAGAGTTATCTGCCCTTGCTGCTGGAGGAGACAGAGCTTATGGTGAAGTCCCTAGTGCTATGATGTCGGTTCTTCATTCAGTTCAACTCTTCCAAGAATTTTAATGCAAATTTATGTCCACTTCGCTTATAATTGCCTAATTAACCATTGATCATTGCATCTTATACTACTACTACATATAACGGTGCGTCCCAATGTCGGAGGCAATTTCTTTGTCATTTTCAAAGCCCCACAGTAGCTTTTGGCAGGGACCCTAATATTACTCAATCTATTGGTTTAACAGGGGGTTTCTGGGACCTGTCCTTGATTGATCCTCATATGAATAGTGGCACTTTGTGTCATCGGGTGTTTATCGCTCGGTGTGATGTTCTGATGGGGTTGGGCGTCATCATCATTAGCTACTATTGTCCTGTGAATGTAAACTTGAACAATGTTTCACACCCCTACAATACTAAATTATAGTAGATAACCTCTTTTTTAACCTGACTACTTTATTCTCTGTAAACTAAACCACACAACTAGAGCATAGTAAAAGCGATCTGTTATAACGGTCACATAACAAAAACTGCAATAAATTACTTTCCTTGCCTTCTTGTCTAATCGCGAAATGATAATCAGATCACGTTCTTGTTCTTCGACCTAGGCCCTAGTTTATGTTTTGTGCAACTGTCAAAACGTCTTATCGCCATTTTGTTTAGAGAATCAGAGATAGCACACCTGTCCATTTCTTACGTCTCAGCTTTGGTAAAGTCTGCAGCTATTAGTACAGTAAAGACAACATGGCAGAAAATAACGGTACAGTATGATTGTTTTTATTTTATGTTCATTTTACGCATGCATTTTCGGTACATCTCACTCTTTCGGGCCCAGAAAGAGATTGACTTCCCTTCCCATTCATGAATCCCCGTGTCGCACGGCCAGTCAACATCTGGGTACGGTTAGCTTGCAGACACTGTGGTAGCTGCTGCATTACACGACAGAGCACGAATTGGTCGGACGCGTGTGATAGGACGTCGATACCGATAACCATATAACTTTTTACTGATTACTAATATAAGAATCGACATCAAAGCACACTAGGCATACCCATAGATGCTCCGTCTCCAGCAGCAAATGACGTAAGGTGTAGATGTTAACTGTTCCCGTTTCACACTGATTAAACACACGCCGATCTCTTCCTCTCATCCATGCAGAATCCACACTTAGTTCTCGTTGAAGCTTAAGTCGATGAGGGGAATTTTCCCCTGTCGATGTGCCCAAGCAGTGTTTCCCTTTTTCTGTTAGGAGTGAATTTTAAGAGTTCACAGATCATACCTGAAACTACCGAGTTCTTACAATACCGAATAATCGATGTCATTATTGCTTATAGCAGTAATTCCAAAACTGTGCGCAGCCCAGTATCCCCGGAAAGCCGCGACCTCTTCACGGGGGCGCCGCGAAATATTCGATTTTTAAAAAATCTCTTACATAGGAATAGTCATACTTTTACTTAGGTTAGGGAGCTATGGAAAAATTGTACTTGAAAAGAGGCGCCTCGACTAAAAACAAGTTTGGGAAAAACTGGGTAATAGTGATACTTTACTCCTGAAAATATGTGGCACGTGGAGATGACTTCGTTGATGAAACTATGTGATAACTGTTTCTTCTTATTTCATTTTCTTCTGCTTTCTTTCAGACATCTCTTCTGTCCGAATGTTTTTCTCATCAATTCTTTCTTTCTTTCTTTCTTTCTTTCTTTCTTTCTTTCTTTCTTTCTTTCTTTCTTTCTTTCTTTCTTTCTTTCTTTCTTTCTTTCTTTCTTTCTTTCTTTCTTTCTTTCTTTCTTTCTTTCTTTCTTTCTTTCTTTCTTTCTTTCTTTCTTTCTTTCCTTTTAGTTTCTTTGTCTTCAGTCTATATTTTATAGACATCTCTTCCTCATTCATTCATTCATTCATTCATTCATTCATTCATTCATTCATTCATTCATTCATTCATTCATTCATTCATTCATCCATTCATTCATTCATTAGTTTCACTTCCTTTCGTGTTTACTTTATTTCTCTTGTCTGTCCTGCTTCATATCTCGGCTTCACGCCGCAGTCAGCGTCATCGCCTGGCAACACCAGACAAGGCAAGTACATCCAAGAGTACAAGCCTGGTTCCCTAGTGACATCCAAGAGTACAAGCCTGGTCCCCTAGTGACATCCAAGAGTACAAGTCTGGTCCCCTAGTGACATCCAAGGCCACATATTGACCAGGCAAGTACATCCAAGAGTACAAGCCCGGTCCCCTAGTGACATACAAGGCCACACATAGACCAGGCAAGTACATCCAAGAGTACAAGTCTGGTCCTCTCGTGACATCCAAGGCCACACGTAGACCAGACAAGTACATCCAAGATTACAAGTCTGGTCCCCTCGTGACATCTAAGGCCACACATAGACCAGACAAGTACATCCAAGAGTACAAGTCTGGTCCCCTCGTGACATCCAAGGCCACACATAGACCAGGCAAGTACATCCAAGAGTACGAGCCTGCTCCCCCAATGACATCCTGTCCCTATCGATCCGAACCTTGTCCCACCATTATTACGACCCCATGAACTAGCCAGGTATGGTGAAGTCTAGCCGTTTCCGGTAATACTACCTGGTCGCATTTCAATTCTGTTTGCTGGCGCCATTTCATAGTTTATAATGAAGATATTATTTGTCTCAGGTTACCTGTTACGGAAAAATGTTTGTCGTTATGAAAGTTCCCAGGCCCTTAAAATGAGAGATACATTGACAGATATTGATCTTCATTTATGGCTTTTGGGGCATTCCTGATTTTGCCCTGTCTCTTTGCCGTACATTGAATTGCTATTGTCTTCTTCGGCAAAGTGAAGTTGTTTTAAGACGGCAAGCTCGAATCCTGACATGATTGCAGAAAGTTCCCCCTCCCCTCCCCTCTCTGTCTCTCTCTCTCTCTCTCTCTCTCTCTCTCTCTCTCTCTCTCTCTGTGTCTCTCTTTCTCTCTCTCTCTCTCTCACTCACTCTCTTCTGCGCCTACCCTTAGAAAAGCGGTAGGCATACTGTGTTATGTTTTACAGCTAAGCTGCGATATCTGTTCCTTTCCGGTCAGCACAATTACAACACAGCTTTATGTAGTCGCATTGACACCACGTTTGTTACAGGACAGTGGGTCTATTGACCCCGCTCCCCACTCTACAGCGGGCTCCGGAACCTTCAGGAGCGGTTGCAGATATGAATTTTCATATTGCTCGTTAGAATTTTTTTTTTTTTAAAGTATCCAGAAACCATGGGTTCCTAATCCTTTGGCTCGGTACTATAGAAATTGCAACCCTTCGGCCTTGATTCCATGATAGGTATAGCAAATCTGGGAGAAATGTGGCTTTTCTGCCTACCCCCAAGCGGGAACCTGGACCACAAGGAGTTCGTCACCCGGTCACCGCGCAGTCCAGTTTAGCCAACTGCGTTAGATAAGTAAATACTAAGTGTTAGTTAATTGCGTATCCTTTACAGGATGCTGCAGAACCAACCCCAGAATTTTTTTTGTTGTCATTTTTCTAGGCAGATTTACCTCTAGTAGTTTGCCTTAGCTTCTGGACATTCGGCTTCTTGATACCACTGTCGAAACCAACGCAAGGTGCAAGGCCCACAGTTAGGATTGAACCCGGCACCCCAGCATTACAAAGCGCGTTCTCAAAGCCTAAGCTACAAACGCCGACTTACTGAGTGTGTATAATAATACAGCTATATACATCCTGTATTGATATACGGATGTGAATCATGGACAATTAATAAATTAGTGAAAACTGATTTGGAAGTTGCGGAGATATGGTTTTATAGACGAATGATAAGAATACCCTGGACAGATAAAAAGAAAAATGTATATGTCTTAAAAGGAACTGACTCACGAAGAGAACTGATTCCCCGCATCAGAAAGAGACAATCTACATTCTTTGGCCATGGGATGAGAAGGAGAAAACTGGTGTACATCGTGACAGTAGGAAAGTTGGAGGGGAGGAGAGGCAGGGGGAGACGCAGAGAAAAGGTGCTGGACAGTTTGACATCATGGCAAGGAAGATCATCTGTGTCAGAGTTGATTGAAAGTACACGAGGCAGAAGGTTGTGGATAGACATGACTACCAACGCCACATGGCATGGACTATGGAAGATCATCTGTGTCAGAGTTAATTAAAACTACACGAGACAGAAGGTTGTGGATAGCCATGACTATCAACGCCACATGGCATGGACTATGGAAGATCATCTGTGTCAGAGTTGATTGAAAGTATACGAGACAGAAGGTTGTGGATAGACATCATGGACTCTAAGAAGAGAAATAACCCTCAGCTCCCCTACACTAGAAAATTATTTTAGACACTTGCTATATTCTAACATTTCTCACACAATCCTCCGGACAATCATGTAACATTCCAACCCTCCTGACAGTTATGCAATATTCCAGCTCTCCTGACAATCATGCAGTATTTCAGCCCTCCTGACAATCATGCAATATTTCAGCTATCCTGACAATCATGCAATAATTCAGCCCTCCTGACAATCATGCAATATTCCAGCCCTCCTGACAATCATGCAATATCCCAATCTTCCTGACAATCATGAAATATTCCAATCCTCCTGACAATCATGCAATATTCCAATCCTCCTAACAATCATGCAATATTCCAGCCCTCCTGACTATCATGAAATATTCCAATCCTCCTGACAGTCATGAAATAATCCAATCCTCCTGACAATCATGCAATATTCCAGACCTCCTGACAAACAAGACATATTCCAATCCTCCTGACAATCATGAAATATTCCAATCCTCCTGACAATCATGCAATATTTCAGCCCTCCTGAGACGGCTACAGAATAAGGGAACTCTGGTGGTAGCTGAAGGTTACCTCTTTGAGTTTGAAAGGCGAGGCTACCTGAAAGCTGGGGCCTTTGTGCCGGAAGTTGTTCTGGAACATCCGGATTTGGTGAAGTCCTTGTCGGAGGAGTTTGTGCATGCCGGAAGTGACGTTGTCTTGGCATTTACGGTAATTCTGTTGTTATTTTTTTTTTTTTTTTTAATGAAATATAAACGTTAAGCGAAAGTTTACATTGTGAATTCTTCCTGTACTTTAAATCTCGCTGCATTAGCTTCAAAGTTTATAGACCGTCCGCAAAGGCGCCGGAATTCTCAACTTAAACATCTTAAACGCACCCTACTCAACCCCTTCTCAAAATATAGAAGGCTCTGTTAAATTTTATGTTCATAAATATTCTTTTTCTTCTTTTTCAGCATTCTGAGCCCTTGGGTTTCATTGCTGCAGATATAACCCGCCTCTAGTCATCTCTCTGGTTGGTCTTCTCTTTCCAGTTGGTGACACCAAGTGTTTGCATGTCTGTCTAGATATTATCTTTCCATCGTCTTCTTGGTCTGCCTCGTGGTCTACGACCATAAATCTCCCTGGTGTA